ATGATACGTTCCAGGTCAGAGGGACTGGAGTGTTCTGAAACCTCACATTACCTACTACCTAAATAGCTATAGGCAGAAATCTTGCCTCTTTCCATGGGTATTTGGCACAGGCTTCATAAATTGTGCAGCACTGCTTAGTTGCAGAACTGACATGACAGAGGGGAAAAGTGGCCCCCAACTGTGCAAAAGGTATTACTTTCAATTCTCCAAAATCCCATAGTTTTCTTGAGGTATTTCCTTACTCATTTGGACTGTTTATAGAAACTCCCGGAAGTACAGCCCTGTTGCAGGTCTGCTTTTCTGCCTTCTAATAGACAAGGAAATGGATAATATCAAGTGGAGAAAGGAAGTCATACAGAGCGTTATGCACAGTCACCGTTGGAATGAGCAACTCTCAAACCAGTTGAAATCAGATTACCCAGATATTATTCCCTTGCAGACCAAAGTGAACACGGTTGTAAATCTTACTTATTTCTATAAGACAATAATGAAGAGAGTCCTGTCCTGCCTCAGAACTGTTCAAAAGGAAGAAAAAAATGTATTGCAGGCAAGAATAAGTGGAAGATTGATGTCTAGGACTAAATTAAAAAAAGATGACCAACATAAAATGAATTTCCATAAGGATTCGAAATTGTTCATTTTTTTCATAGCTTGTAGTTTACACCTCCTTCTACCTTGATGAACACCAGGTTCACCTTAGGAAAGACACTACTGCTGTGTGTGGAGAGAAGACTCCAAAGGACTTCGTGTGTTCTACAAAATGGGCTTTGAGCTTTCTTCTACTGCATTATTAGCATACACAGATGATTTCTTCTCGGATCTTACTGTTGTGACTAACATTCATCCCCTTCCATATCTGCAGTGAGAAATTTCATAGAGCTCTGAACTGGAGATTCTTCGTAAAGCTACAAAATATCTGGTTCACCATGACTTATTTGTATGATGTGACCCGTAGAATTATATTGGCAAAATGTCTAAAACCAGAAGTGAACACAAGTGTGTCCAGTTTATGACAATGGATACGATTTCAAGGAAACAATGGATTGCGTCTAGCCAACATGTATCTACAAACTCAGTAGTAATAGAATATTTGAGAATTTTAATGGGGCTGCATATTTTAAGAGGTCCAAAACAGCTTTGCCTCTTCAGGTTCAAGAATGCCAGAAAATATCTTACTGTGCCAGCCAGAAGAACAACAGCTTGTTCCTTCATCTTGAATTCAGGCTTTGTGGCTCAGGAACATGTCCCTGCCAAAAGAAGACCAAAGGACTTTACCTCTGCTTGTGCTGTTACCAATTCAGACAAATGGACTGAAAAATCAGAGTAGTTTTTCTTCTAGAATTCTGTGATCCCTCTGTCCTGCCTCCATGTCATCTTTTCAGAGTGACCTTGGAAAATGAGAGCAGAGCAAATTTGTCATCTTCAAGGCATCATTCTAATTCCAATTCCAGCTGTTAATAATTATTGTTCAACATTTTCAAAGCACAAAAAAGGAACAGGCGACTTCCTCCTAGAGTGCAGCTTGGCAAATTTGAAGCTGATTTCTTGCAAAACCAATTTCTTTTTGGAGGGTCCTTCAAGAAATTACCAGAGTCCTTTTTCTCTCTCATGACCTTAAAGCACATCATGGGTACTTACATTGCTGAAATTTGAAGGCAACAACCTCTTCAGAGCCTTTTGAGCTTTCCTTCATTACTTGAGATTTTGGAATACCAGTTTCTAATTGTGATCAGCTACTCTGATTCATTCATACTTACCTTATCTTGGGTTACATACTAGTCAGAAGATAATGAGAAGATGCAGGTATGAAGACTACTGGCCATGTTCTTTAAGAAAGACAAATTAAATTGAACACCAAAGCAGGTTCTTAGTTAAATTTCTCGAGTTCATTTTTTACTTCAGGATACCTCTTCTCTGTCTACTGTGAAGTTCAAAAACAGTATCAAGATGATCACCAGTACAGAGGAGTTACAGGAAGTTGTAACTTTCACCTGGAAATCTCCATAATGCTCAAGCTGCAAGACATTTCTCATCAGTTCGGGAATGATGCTAGTAACATGCATCAGTTTATCATGAGTTCAGGGCAAATGCCAGGAAAAAGCATGAAAGCCATCATTTTATGGAATTAATGCTGGTGTGTTATGCTATCTTCTTTGAGGAATGCCACAGGAACTTGTGACCAATTACATGTAAAAAGCACAAGAGAATGACAGTGAAATTTTGTCATCTTCACACAACTTCAAGCATGGATAGTGGATATGCTGTCTGGTTTGTGTTTAGTTTATTTACTTACTAAACTCACAATATTAGTTGCTCTTTTCACCTCTTTGATGACCATGTTGACTACAACTATTAGTTGGGGATCAGCAGCTGTAATCTTGACTACTCCTTCGTGAACCAGACTTCATGTATTTTTCCCTGGGCAATGGAAAATCCTTCCAATTGTTCATCTATGACAGCTTTTTAGTGAAAAAGCTTAAGCCTTCCTTTTCTCTGGTTCTATTAAAACTTGAGACAGCGCGACTAGGATTTTTCTGAAACCCTCCAAATTGGCCACGTTTCTTCTATTTCTTATCCGTATTAGAGTGATGGTGTGGTGGGTACTCATATTGGAGAAAGTTAAAATTAGATTCCCTGAAATAATTTTATATTCTCTGAATGGGTACCCACTACTCTGTCAGCACCCACTACTTTGGCTAAAATTTCTCCAAGCATGGGAAAGTCTTTTCTTCATGTGGAGATTCTAAATGGATGGAAAGAGAGAGGAAAATGATCGAAGGGTTTCAAGTTGATGATTGATTCATTGTTTTTAAACATTTTTTTTTTCCTGCCTGGATATTTCTCTGCTGTTTTCTAACTTGTTTTTCAGTTGTCTTATATTCCCTCAGCTGTGGCAGTATTCCTGGAGCCAAATGTGAGTGCACTACCTCAAAATGCCAGCAGTGGAAGCTGGTAAGCAAGTGGGGAAAAATCACCAGAGGAATCTCTGAAGCTTGGGACAAAGGCAGAAAACACATCAGTACTGCACTAACAGAGCAGCAGGTACCCTCATAGAGAAGATAAAATTACAGGTAAGGCAATAATTTACATTTCTATTTTGGTCTCATCCAAATGGCTTGTTACTCTCCATTCAAAATCTCAGAAAAAAATAACATACCCTAAACATCTGAAGAAGAAAAAGGTATCAAATGTGATGAATTTAGACTACCTGATTTTTCAGTGGGGATAATTTGAAGTTCAATCAGACCCGATTTCTGGAAAAATATATTAAAAGATGAAAATCCGTGATACCTACCAAGCAATTTAAAACCTTATCCTAGTTTTACAACAAGGCTGGGTTGGTTTTTTTATTGGTTTTGTTTTTTCATTTTTAGAATATTAAACACAGGAAACCGCTTGTTACAGGTTTTCCTTTCCAGTCAAGAACAACAGTAGGCTTTTCTTTAGGTAAGTGAGGTCAGATAAAGCCAAAGACAGAAGGACTCTGTTCTCATCTGTCCTTCTCCAATTACATTCTCACAGTTGGAAGGGTAGCATGACTCATTCTTATGCTTCAGTTTCCTCATCTGTAAAAAGGAAGGAGGTTGTTTTTATCTCCCACTTGAGATGAGTAGATGGAATAAGTGGTGTAAAAGAGAAGAAAATTACATTTATTTAATTAATTGTCTTGCAGTCTTTTATGCCGCCATGCTGCAGTCCCACTATGGAGTTGTGATCACCACAAAAACCACAAGAGGATATATCCTTGTCTGAATTGCTGCAGTTATTATCTGTTACAGAAAGTAAAATAAGGTTTATGTTTAAGTCTTCTTTTAATAGAAAACTGTTGTCTGTAATTGAAAGATTTTGTGAAGTTAAAATAAATCTATGATAAACTTAATTTCTCTGCTGAGTTACAGAAACATAGAGAAAGTTCAGGTGTGTGCGTTGTAGTGGCATTACCTTTTGGAAGACAGTAATAATGAAGTACATTTGAAAGACTAATGAATTAGATTTAGCCTTGACATAACTCATATGTCTTCATCAGATCCCAGTGAGTTGTATCACTTAAGTTTATTTTGTAAACTATCAAGTTCAAGGAAATATGAATACAGAGCCATATTAATTTGTTTCATAGTATTTAACTGTGTAGAGATTTTATTAAAGAAACAAGTTATTAAAGTTATGAGTTTAATCTTGTAATGTATGTTTCTAATGATCTGCACTGTGCTATTTAAGTTAAAAAGCTTGAAGAAAAAAAAAGGAGAATAATAATATTTTTGTAAGCATTATTTAAAGAAATTTAGGTGATCTTTTGAGGTGCTGTGCAACCCTTTTTGGAAGCAATCATTATCAGCAGGTCCAAAAACCACCTCAAATATCTAGATAAGGAGCGAGCTGTCTGAATTGAATATTGTTGTTTGAAATGTGTCATCTGTTATTTTACCATGTTTCTTGTAAGCTGCTAACCATAGAAATGACTGTAAGCGGAGTTCTCCTCAGAATACTCTCATTTTTCAAACTTTAAACTTGCATTTTTGTTGTTTTTTGGTTTAGCTTTTTTTTTTTTAAACTTTAAAAATATATGGGAAGAGAACACTCAAGTCTTTCATTTGGAAGGAATCGTATTCTGACATCATGTCTCTTTTCCGTACCACAGGTTTATCCATGGACTTACTTTCAAATAACTTTCCAATTACTGTTTTATCATAGTTAAAATTTGCTGATATAATTGCAAAAATGAGTGTAATCTAGCAGTTTCTATTGCTTTTTGGTGACAAATCAATAAGTTTGAATTTGAGTATGTTTAAACCTTTTCCTTTGGGGTTACTGTTATATCTTGGGGGTGTTTTTGAGACCATGCTCTTTTGCTAAGAGAAGTTGCTTTGATTCTGAAAAATGTTTTTTCCTGTCATTTTGTACTTTTCCTTGTAAGTTAAAGACAATTCCATCTATCCCAGTTTTGTTTTCTGTAACTAATTCCATAACAGTGTAGTACTTGACATGTGTTTGTTTCTTAGGCAAACGTGTAAAACTCCTCAAGTCCGAATGGAGAAGTAGAGAAAGGAGGTTTCTGCTGTGCCTGATGACAATTTTTGATTTTTCCACACACACAAAATATTCTGGCTCCACGTTGGAGCACTAGTTGTGATGAATCCTAATCTTGGTCGGATTCTAAGGAAGGGCCAGAACGTTCGTTGAGGAATAAAGAGTCAAACCACTCCAGAAAATGTGTTCCAGCCCTGGTTTATTACTCACAGAGCAGCAGGTGTGTACAAATACAGGTTTACACAGTATTAACAGGAATTGTTGTACCTTACTCCTCATTGTAGTTGCTTAGTTTGCTGCAGATGCCCAGTAATCATGGCTTATTTGGGCAGAACTTCAGGAGGGTGGTTGGAGAGACTCACTCAGCATTGTGCTCCTAAGTGGCCTCAGTGTGTCAGTCAGATGCTCCAGGGAGCCTTTAAACATCTTTCTTCACTCACTCTCCTTTCAAAGGTAGACTTAGTTGATGAACTTAAGTTGCTATCATGGGAAAGCAACAGGTGCTCTGGAGAAGAGAACAGCACTGAGAGAGGAAATATGTCTTGGTACATTCAGTTCGGTGTCGCTTTGTGGTCAAAAGCTCAGGATCTCATACTGGATTACGTGAAATTCAGAAAAAGTTGGGAAAGGGGTATTTCCACTGTATTCCTAAGATATGGTAGGTGTTGTCTGTTTAATCTAAAAACCATGTTTAAGATGAAGAACTCTGTAATTTTCAGGAACATATGCCATGGTCTAAAGTTTTTTCCTTTACCTATTTTTCTAGTCCTAACTTTACAATTATTTGGAGCAAGTGGAAAGCTCAATTTACTTATGAAAGGTTTCCAAAGCCTTTTAGTTTTAATTACAGTTTTTAACCCTGGTTTCCTAGGACTTCACTTCAACACAAAAAATATCCTGCCGAAATCATTAAGAGCAGTGGGAAAACATGAAATACAGAATTATACTTCAAATGGTATTGTGTGAAATGAGTTTTCAACATGTTTGTTTCTTTCTAATGGAAGGTCCTGAGCACAAGAATTATCACAAATGCAATTCTGATTGGTCACAGTGCAATAAAAGTATGAAAGAATTAAAAGCTTTAGAGTCTGGTGGTTATCAAAGACATTGGAAACTTTTGAGCCATTTAAGTGTACTGGGAAATGTTCTGTGTAATTAATAAAATGAGCTAGAGATGTTTTCTGAAGAACAGACCTGAGGATCTAGAATTCTAAATTGCCCCATTCAGGCTTGGGAACATGTTTAGACCAACACGTCTCATACTACAGCGCCTAAAATAAAGTTAAGGGAAAAATTTAAAGCTCTTGAGTCTTGATATCAAAAGTTAGGTAGGACCAAAGTTTTATAAG